ATCTGTGCTAGAGGATCAAATGAATGAAATGAAGCGAGAAGTTTAGAGAAAAAAGAGTAAAAAGAAATGAAGAAAGCCTCCAAGAAATATGGGACTATGTTAAAAGACCAAATCTACATCTGACTGGTGTACCTGAAAGTGACTGGGAGAATGGAACCAAGTTGGAAAACACTCTGCAGGATATTATCCAGGAGAACTTCCCCAACCTAGCAAGGCAGGCCAACATTCAAATTCAGGAAATACAGAGAATGCCACAAAGATACTCCTCGAGAAGAGCAACTCCAAGACACATAATTGTCAGATTCACCAAAGTGGAAATGAAGGAAAAAATGTTAAGGGCAGCCAGAGAGAAAGGTCGGGTTACTCACAAAGGGAAGCCCATCAGACTAACAGTGGATCTCTCGGCAGAAACTCTCCAAGCCAGAAGAGAGTGGGGACCAATATTCAACATCCTTAAAGAAAAGAATTTTCAACCCAGAATTTCATATCCAGCCAAACTAAATTTCATAAGTGAAGGAGAAATAAAATCCTTTACAGACAAGCAAATGCAGAGAGATTTTGTCACCACCAGACCTGCCCTATAAGAGCTCCTGAAGGAAGCACTAAACATGGAAAGGAACAACCGGTAACAGCCACTGCAAAGATATGCCAAAATGTAAAGACCATTGATGCTAGGAAGAAACTGCATCAACTAACGAGCAAAATAACCAGCTAACATCATCAGGACAGGATCAAGTTCACACATAACAATATTAACCTTAAATGTAAATGGGCTAAATGCTACAATTAAAAGACACAGACTGGCAAACTGGATACAGTCAAGACCCATCAGTTTGCCGTAATCAGGAGACCCATCTCACATGCAGAGACACACATAGGCTCAAATTAAAGGGATGGTGGAAGATCTACCAAGCAAATGCAAAACAAAAAAAGGCAGGGGTTGCAATCCTAGTCTCTGATAAAACAGACTTTAAACCAACAAAGATCAAAAGAGGCAAAGAAGGCCATTACGTAATGGTAAAGGGATCAATTCAGCAAGAAGAGCTAACTATCCTAAATACATATGCACCCAATACAGGAGCACCCAGATTCAAAAAGCAAATCCTTGGAGACTTACAAAGAGACTTAGACTCCCACACAATAATAATGGGAGACTTTAACATCCCACTGTCAATATTAGACAGATCAACAAGACAGAAAGTTAACAAGGATATCCAGGAATTGAACTCAACTCTGCATCAAGCGGACATAATAGACATCTACAGAACTCTCCACTCCAAATCAACAGAATATACATTCTTCTCAGCACTGCATTGCACTTATTCCAAAACTGACCACATAGTTGGAAGTAAAGCACTCCTCAGTAAATGCAAAAGAACAGAAATTATAACAAATTGTCTCTCAGACCACAGTGCAATCAAACTAGAACTCAGGATTAAGAAACTCACTCAAAACCACTCAACTACATGGAAACTGAACAACCTGCTCCGGAATGACTACTGGGTACATAACAAAATGAAGGCAGAAATAAAGATGTTCTTTGAAATCAATGAGAACAAAGATATAACATACCAGAAGCTCTGGGACACATTTAAAGCAGTGTGTGGAGGAAAATTTATAGTACTAAATGCCCACAAGAGAAAGTAGGAAAGATCTAAAATTGACACTCTAACATCACAATTAAAAGAACTAGAAAAGCAAGAGCAAAAACATTCAAAAGCTAGCAGAGGGGAAGAAATAACTAAGATCAGAGCAGAACTGAAAGAGATAAGACACAAAAATCCCTTCAAAAAATCAATGAATCTAGGAACTGGTTGTTTGAAAAGATCAACAAAATTGATAGACCACTATCAAGACTAATAAAGAAGAAAAGAGAGAAGAATCAAATAGATACAATAAAAAATGATAAAGGGGATATTACCACTGATCCCACAGAAACACAAACTACCATCAGAGAATACTATAAACACCTCGACACAAATAAACTAGAAAACCTAGAAGAAATGGATAAACTCCTGGACACATTCACTCTTCCAAGACTAAACCAGGAAGAAGTTGAATCCCTGAATAGACCAATAACAGGCTCTGAAATTGAGGCAATAATTAATAGCCTACCAACCAAAAAAAGTCCAGGACCAGACAGATTCACAGCCGATATCTACCAGAGGTACAAGGAGGAGTTGGTACCATTCCTTCTGAAACTATTCCAACCAACAGAAAAACAGGGAATCCTCCCTAACTCATTTTATGAGGTTGACGTCATCCTAATACCAAAGCCTCGCAGAGACACAACATAAAAGAATTTTACACCAATATCCCTGATGAACATCAATGCAAAAATCCTCAATAAAATACTGGCAAAGTGAATCCAGTAGCACATCAAAGAGTTTATCCACCATGATCAAGTGGGCTTCATCCCTGGGATGCAAGGCTGTTTCAGTACATGCAAACCAATAAATGTAATCCAGCATATAAACAGAACCAAAGACAAAAACCACATGATTATCTCAATAGATGCAGAAAAGGCCTTTGACAAAATTCAACAGCCCTTCATTCTAAAAACTCTCAATAAATTTGGTATTGATGGAACGTATCTCAAAATAATAAGAGCTATTTATGACAAACCCACAGTCAATATCATACTGAATGGGCAAAAGCTGGAAGCATTCCCTTTGAAAACTGGCACAAGACAAGGATGCCCTCTTTCACCACTCCTATTCAACATAGTGTTGGAAGTTCTGGCCAGGGCAATCAGGCAAGAGAAAGAAATAAAGGATATTCAATTAGGAAAAGAAGAAGTCAAATTGTCCCTGTTTGCAGATGAAATTATTGTATATTTAGAAAACTCCATTGTCTCAGCCCAAAATCTCCTTAAGCTGATAAGCAACTTCAGCAAAGTCTCAGGATACAAAATCAATGTGCAAAAATCACAAGCATTCTTATACAATAATAACAGACTAACAGAGAGCCAAATGGTGAGTGAACTCCCATTCACAATTGCTTCAAAGAGAATAAAATACCTAGGAATCCAACTTACAAGGGATGTAAAGGACCTCTTCAAGGAGAACTACAAACCACTGCTGAATGAAATAAAAGAGGACACAAACAAATGGAAGAACATTCCATGCTCATGGATAGGAAGAATCAGTATCGTGAAAATGGCCATATTGCCCAAGGTAATTTATAGATTCAATGTCATCCCCATTAAGCTACCAATGACTTTCTTCACAGAATTGGAAAAAACTACTTTAAGTTCATATGGAATCAAAAAAGAGCCCACATTGCCAAGACAATCCTGAGCCAAAAAGAACAAAGCTGGAGGCATCACGCTACCTGATTTCAAACTATACTACAAGGCTACAGTAACCAAAACAGCATGGTACTGGTACCAAAACAGAGATATAGACAAATGGTACAGAACAAAGCCCTCAGAAATAATACCACACATCTACAACCATCTGATCTTTGACAAATCTGACAAAAACAAGAAATGGGGGAAGGATTCCCTATTTAATAAATGGTGCTGGGAAAACTGGCTAGCCATATATAGAAAGCTGAAACTGGATCCCTTCCTTACACCTTACACAGAAATTAATTCAAGATGGATTAGAGACTTAAATGTTAGACCTAAAACCATAAAAACCCTAGAAGAAAACCTAGGCAATACCATTCAGGACATAGGCATGGGCAAGGACTTCATGTCTAAAACACATGAAGACATGAAGACAAAAGCGAAAATTGACAAATGGGATCTAATTAAACTAAAGAGCTTCTGCACAGCAAAACAAACAAACAAACAAACAAAACACACACACACACACACAAAACTACCATCAGAGTGAACTGGCAACCTACAGAATGGGAGAACATTTTTGCGATCTACTCATCTGACAAAGGGCTAACAACCAGAACCTACAGAGAACTCAAATAAATTTATAAGAAAAAAACAAACACCCCATCAAAAAGTGGGCAAAGGATATGAACAGATACTTCTCAAAAGAAGACATTTATGCAGCCAACAGACACATGAAAAAATGCTCAGTATCACTGGCCATCAGAGAAATGCAAATCAAAACCACAAGGAGATACCATCTCACACCAGCTAGAATGGCGATCATTAAAAAGTCAGGGAACAACAGAGGATATGGAGAAATAGGAACACTTTTACACTGTTGGTGGGATTGTAAACTAGGTCAACCATTGCGGAAGACAGTGTGGTGATTCCTCAAGGATCTAGAACTAGAAATACCATTTGACCCAGCCATCCCATTACTGGGTATATACCCAAAGGATTATAAATCATGCTGCTATAAAGACACATGTGCACGTATGCTTATTGTGGCACTATTCACAATAGCAAAGACTTGGAACGAACCCAAATGTCCATCAGTGACAGACTGGATTAAGAAAATGTGGCAAATATATACCATGGAATACTATGCAGCCATATAAAAGGATGAGTTCATGTCCTTTGTAGGGACATAGATGCAGCTGGAAACCATCATTCTCAGGAAACTATTGCAAGAACAGAAAACCAAACACCGCATGTTCTCACTCATAGGTGGGAATTGAACAATGTGAACACTTGGACACAGGAAGGGGAACATTACACACCAGGGCCTGTTGTGGGGTTGGGGTGGTGGTAGGGATAGCATTAGGAGATATACCTAATGTAAATGACGAGTTAATGGGTGCAGCACACCAATATGGCACATGTATATGTATGTAACAAACCTGTACGTTGTGCACATGTACCCTAGAACATAAAGTATAATAAAATAATAACAATAATAATAATAATAATAATAATAAAACTTACCCCTTGAAATTTATACTTTCTTATCCACATTCAAGTATCTGGAATATGACGCTGTTTGACAAATAATCATGTGCTGTTTGGAAGAGGTCTTCTTGGCAGTTGCAACTTATGGAAATAATTATTTACCTGCTAAAAGTGTTAAGGTTAAAAAGGAAGTATCTTCTAAGAAACCCAAGAAGCATTAAAGATTCATAAACAAGTTATATTTAGCAACATTTAGAGAAAAGGAACACAAAACCAAAAAGCAAGCCCCTACCAAAAAAGAGAAAACCAGAAATTTTTACCTATATTTTATAATTCCAAACACAAGGGGCAAAAAATCCTCTATAAATGGAAGTTCTTTAGGTGGTTCTAGGTATCTGCTTCAGTTTTTAACTCTCTTCACAGTTTACATTTATAGAAATATAAATATTATTTCTTAAAATTCACATTTAATACAAACTTTCAAAGGTATTTAAATGTAGGATAGCAGCAATGAGAAGGCTTTTAAGTCTAAGAACCTACAGGGCATGACAAGAGCAATTCCTAAATCCATATAATGATTTTACCATTGCTATGTATAAACTGCCATTTGTAGCAAGTTTTACATGGGACATTATTGAACATTTTGGGGAGTGGGGGAAATATAAGAATCTGCTTTATCATCTTTGATTGCAGACACGGGTTTATGACATGTCACAAAGCTACTTTCTCTGAGAGCAGTTAGTATCTCCAAACCAGGCTAGAATTTCTAAGGGCAGTCTTGCTTTTTGGTGATTTAAGCAATTTTTTGATGATACTTCCATGTTTGGGGGTACATTGGGCCATTAAGATGAGCACCAAGGAGAAAATGGAGAGGTGGCAAAGCTCTAGCAATACTCTCCTGCTCAAAATGCTTTTGACACCTGAGAAAGAAGTAGGTGGTTTTGAGCCGGTAAAATGTATACACATATATGATAGTAAAATATTATAAGTTAATGTTTTCTATGTGAATTCACAATTGAAATATTGTATACTATGATACGATTAATCTGTGCAAAATTCTCTGAGGTAGAGCCTTATTTAAATTCTTCATCTGAATACATATACTTTACATAAATATGATCCTCTCAGAGTTGTAAACAAAGTTTAGAAATATGGTAAAATCTCTAGAATGATCAGAGGTAATTTAGAGGCAAAGTGGCCTGTTCAGTAACTGACATTCCAACAGAAGGTCATAGCTTCTTCTGTTGATTCATGGAATGGGGTTAGCCTGTGGATAGACATTTGTACTAATATACACTGATTACATTCATACTACAGAATCATATGTTAGATACCAGAAGATAATCTTAATCTTTTGTCCTCTGCATACACTCCTATTTGGGTAGTTAGCATGCCACTGCATTTACTCTTGATGACATTTGTCTTCCCAACTAGATTTTAAATATCCTTGGAGGCAGAATCATGAGATATTAAAAATCTATAAATATGTTGGCTCTTCAGAGCTAATAAATGATAAAATGTACCCAGTAAGAAACCAAGCAGTATTTACAGCCAGCTATTAAGAATCTTTTCAAACACTAATTGCATATACTCAGAACTGAATTTGTTGTTTTTTGCTCTAGACCAAGTTTTGGACTTCATTTCCGAACGAATTTTCTGTGTCACTAGTAATGTCCTTGAGGATGACAGCGTGAACTTTCTCTGCAACAGTACAAAGATCGGCTGTTTTTAGACCTTTAATCAATGTGTCACATGCATCTTTCTTTCCATGAAGTTGATACCAATTACGAAGCAGTTGAACTTTTTGTTCTGCTGTGTCTTGGACATTGTCATTCTTGATCTCATCTATTTTGGCTTCACTGACACCATTCTTTCGAACAAAGTCTCTAACTTGACTTAGTGTCATGAGTCCAGCGATAGTGGTGATATATTTACTTAAGTCAACATCTGAAAAACAGAAAATAGTCTAAAAATTTGTTTTTCTAAATGAAATTCCCATTACTGAAAACCATGTTTATTTCTCTTTTTATAGTACTTCAGAATATAGCTAAGTCCTAAAGATCTGTGAAGAGCTGACTGTGGGAATACAGAAACAAGGCAATCTTGAGTTCTAACTCCAAATCCTGCCATGTACCCAGTAATTTGTTAAATAACCTGGGCACAATATATAACATTTCTGTGTCTTCTTTTCTCATTTATAAAATAAGAGGATTGGAAAAGATCATCTATAACATCTCTCATGGATCCAATGATCAATGACCCACAAATCTAAAAGTACAAGCAAAGAGTTTATGATCATCTTATCCCTAAATCACAGGTCAAAGAACAACTGAATGGAATCATGTATGCTGTTACAGAGTTGGGTACACTGATAATACCTGAGTCTACAGTGCACTTTAACCTCTAGATCCGTTTAGGCAGGAGTTCTGTAATATATCTAGCTGATTATGTAGGAGAAGTTTCTTAAACCTCAGACCATTGTGTACTATTGTTACTTGATTATTTTTATCTATGAGTATTTATTATAAATTTAAACAAATTGCCTGATAAATGCTTTATGCTGAGCAGGTAGAATTGTATGAGAAATAACAAGATCCCACAATATGTCACTGAAAGTAGCAACATTATTTTACTCTGAAATTGGCCTATTACTCTAAAGGAAGCCATCTCTATGAAATAAAACAATAAAAGCCTTACCAGATAAATTTATTGCTGTTTCCTAGAAAGCAAAAAATGGAAGCAGAGAAAGACAAATAAAAATATATTTTTAGCATATTCTAAATGTAAACTTCTAATTTTTCCTTAATTCAGAAAGAAGTACAATCAGTTGCTTGATGTATAAAATTAGGAAGCTAGATTAAGTGATTAAGAAGCATACTTTTACCATTTAATTTTTATTCTGAAAGGTTCCAGCCTTGCCAGAAACTAAGCAATATTGTCTCAGTTTTTAAAGGCAAGAAACCTAAAGAATTCATAAAACAGGTTGAGGTTATTTTTCATGTAGACTTATTAAACGATAAATATAACGACTCTAAAATTTTCTTCCCTGTAACTATTCTTATTTTTAATACCAGAAAATGGCTCAAATTGAAATTTTTCTTACCATATTAATTCAAAGAATCCTAACTCCCACTGAGCCCTGGCCCCAAATAAAATAATTCCATTAAGCGCAACTGGTTTCTTTTCTTGGTGTATTTCTTGCTATCTGAAATGTATTGATACCATGTTGGGAAAAGATATGGTGAGACATAAGGTCAACCGGCAGCCAGAGAAAGTTAAGCCTTTATGACAAACTTTCAGAGCAATCTCTTTGCTCAGGCTTGGATACTGAACCCATGCCTGGTAAAGGCTGTTTCTCTGTGGGGATAACAACAACACGGAACATGGAGGTTGGCCATGTTCTTTTTTCAGCTCATTTTCAGTACACTCTCAATTCCCTCCTTTGTTGATTCTTATGGTTTTTGTGTAGAAGCTTACTTTTAAATTGGGTACCATATCATAATTCATCTGTGAGGCCCCTTTAACCTATGCGCACACAAACACAAGCAATGTTTAAATAAAGAAAGTAACAGGCCAGATGTGATGACTCACACCTATAATCCCAGCACTTTGGGAGGCTGAGGCAGAAGGATTGCTTGAGGCCAAAAGTTTGAGACCAGCCTGGGCAACAAAGTGAACCCTGTCTCTATAAAAAATTAAAAAAAAAAAAAATTAACCTGGCATGGTGGTGCATGCCTGTAGTCCCAGGGTCCCAGCTGAGGCAGGAGGTTCACTTGAGCCCAGGAGTTTGAGGCTGCAGTGAGCCATGATTGAACCACTGCACTCCAGCCTGGGCTATGGAGCAAGACTCCATCTCAAACAAAATGAAGCAAACAAACAAGAAACAAAAAAGTAAAAGGAGGTAACAAAAAGCCAAATCACTAATTTCTCTTTTTTTTTTTTTTCAAGGAACGCTGATACCTATTTCAATACCTACAGGATTTAAGGTTGTAGATTCATGAGGACCTTGGTTTTCCTTTCTGTGCTTTCTGCATGTTTTCTTTATCACCACTGAAAGAACAAAGACATTTTATCAAACTCAGGTCTCAGTCTTGTAGAATGCATGTGAGAACATACTTTTATACTAAGAGAAGTATAAGAAGGGAAAAGGAGAAACTCATTGAAACTTAAAAGTGGCCAAACACCACAGGGGGCAGCTGATTTTGAAACTTTCATACCACTAAGTCAAGTGTTCTAGTGAAAGGACATATCTTAATTAGTCATCTAATTACCACGAGCTGGCCTAGCATGGAGACGGTTTTTGACTTATATGGCAAGCACCGCTTCCTGTCCAGCAAAGATGTGGACGGCAAGACTATGGCAGGACACAGAAGCTGCAGGACAAGCAAGTCAACATCAACTTGCTATGGATGCCCAGAAATTGAAATACACACACAAATAACTCAAGTATACATACTCAATAGGTGTATGCATTAACATCAACGTGAGGTAGAAGAATCTGTGTGTCTCTGAGCACAATTACAGTGTTTAAATATCCCAAATGTATTTTCAGCTAAACAACTGCTAATGGCAAGGCAAACTTTCTTCTTCAACTGAACTGAAGAAACACAGAATTGTTCTGACAGAGAAGGGAAAATTGGATATTTCTAAGTTACCGAAAGTTGGTGTGACCCTGTAGTTGATGAATGACTTAAAGGGATTTTTCTAGACTAATTATGATTATACTTAATTTTGGCTTTTCTACTGACTCTACTGAGTCACCTTTGTATAACATGTGTTCCCATAGTATTTTAAGTTAAGGAGGATAAATAATTAAAAACAAGCCATTAGGCCAAGGAAGAGGAGGCAGAGAAGTACAAGTTTTTTAACCGTTCCCTGCAATGTGTTTCTTGGGAATGCCTTTGCTTCTTGTGTTCTCTTTTTGCATAGGGAGATCTCAATGAATAGTGAAGAATTACTTCTGATTTTTGGCCAACTACACTGCTGCAGAGAACCCTTATTCATAGGAAGGATTAGAATACCACTCAATGCCCCAAAACCGTTGCTCAGAAACTAGCTGAGGGATAATTTCATTTGTTCTTATCTATCAGCTCTCAAGGCTGCATTCGGAGGCAAGAAGTTAACAATACATAAATCTACCAAACTGGTAGCTTTTTATAGGTAAGAATAAGGCAAATCTTTGTGAACTACTTCCCAAGTTATTTCAATCTGCAGTTTGAACAAAGCAAGAACTTACCATAAACAATTGGTGGAATTAGGAGAAGAAGAAGACATAACCACGGCAAATCAGATCTGGAATCTGAAGGTTGGAACATTGGACATTTATATGAAAATAAGCAATCTTTAAGATTAAACAAAGGACTCTCAAATAATCAAGAGTGATTGGTTTTTCTTCACATCTTTCCATGGGGATGAGGGAAAGGAGAATATAACCGTCAAAAAATAATTACCTTCCTCTTTGCACTTGGTGTTGCTGGTGAGTGTGCATTCCTCGATGATTCCATGTTTACACCTAGAAAACAAAATACAGGGGAATTTCAAAAGCCTGTAGGAATGATTCCTTGATCATTTTCAATGGCACGTTATAAATTAGGGGCCATTTTATTCGTCTTTGCATCTCTGGCAAACACATTCCCTCAAATATTTCTAGAGTAGTATCTAAAGCAGGCACAAGTTGATATAATTTGGATGGCTGGATGAAAAATATCATAAGGAATGACTCTGTTTTAAGATTTCAAGAGTTAAAGGAAGATAGGAAAATAGTGATACACAAGAGAGATGAAGTAGACACAAAAATAAACTTAAACCTGGTAATAAACTGAACACATAAATCCTACAGCTTAAACTAGCTCTTAAACTGCCAAGAGTAATTCCAAAAAATTCCCATAGCTGAGAAAATGGCCAGGTGATAGCCATGCCCATGATGCGGCTCAGGGAGGGTACTCAGCTGGCCCTTAGCGGCTGCTACTTTTAGCATACGGTGGTGATCAGGAGACTCAAGAGGTTCGTATGTGATTTCTTTCAGACAGACAGACATTCACAGTCAGGTTGTCTGAGTTCACAGCCTCTGCCCGTTACCTGACTAGGTGAGTTTGGGAAGTCAGACTGTCATGAGCCTATTATCTCATCAATAACATGGAAGTAATATTATCTATTTCAAAAGGTTATGATGAGAAGAAAATTAAATCAAGATTATGAAATATTTGGAACTACTATTATTGTTATTATTTTACTAAGTCAGTTGCTTCCCAAGTGCCTACCTAGCCTGTCATCATAGGGGCATTCTCAGACACTTGGGGCCAGGGGAGAGCCTGGGACAACTGTACATAAAATTTTCCTAGCAAATAAAACATAAAGCATCATGCTCTTAATTCTTAAGCCTATTAGCTTCTCAAGATGAATTACAAGTCAGGTTCTCTAATTTTGGGTCAAAACCAACTTCTTTAACCTGAAAGACAAGGCCCTTCATGATTCAGCCCTGACCCCTTCTTAGTCTTTCCTACACTCCAGCCATGTACTCTGTTTTCCTGTGCTTCCTTTGTCTCTTTGCAGCTGCTGTTCCCCTGTCTATAATGTGCATTCCTTCCGTGTGCACCTGTTAATGCTCTTTCTTTTCTTTCTTCAAGACTCAAGCCATGAGACACATTTATGTCTTCACCTCCATCTCCTCAGGCAGAGCTGAAATGTTTTCCTGTATAATTTGTAACACCTGGAACATAAGTCTCTTCTGACGCTATTCTCATGCTGCTGAAATACAATAGCCATTGCTTTTCTTGACTACAATAATAGTAGTTCCAAATATTTCATAATCTTCTGGACTGACAGCTTGATACCAGGCATGTGTCTGGCTCACATCTTTAGCTTAAGTGGCCAGCAAAGTGTCACCTACACAGGAAGTGTTCACTAATGTTTAAATGAGCAAACAGTCATCTAGTTGCTTGGTGGCAAAGCAAGACTAGAACCCTAATTCTTAACTCTCAGTCAGTGTTACTTCCCTAGGAAAATGATAACTCTCATGTTATAGCTAGTGGTTTAATCAGAAAAAGACTACAACTTACTTGGTGCAAGGGTCACAGTGTTCACATACAGCAGAGTTACAAAAAAAGTTTGGTTTACATCTGCACTTGGTATTCTGGGTCCGGGTGCAGTTTATTTCCACTTCTAAGCCTAGAAAATCAGTTTGGAAACTATTAGTTATAGCGGCTAATTAAAAGTGGACTATGAAAATGGTGGGCAGGAGCTGCATGCATTTTTGAGATCCACTGCTTATATCAACAGTCACAGCATGACACCAGTAATACAGTTGGTGTTTAAACACAGAACAGGAAACCCCAGGTTGAAATGGCCAGCAATCATTTAGCAGACAAACCAAGACAAACCTCGCCATTGCTTAGATGTCTCCCCTGTTCCTCTAGTCTCTAGCCTTAACACTCAATGGGTGACTTGGGGACTGGCAGCATCAGCATCACCTGGGAGCTTGTTAAAAATGTAGAATGTTAGGCTCTACCCTAGATTTACTCAATCAAGCCAATACCAAGGCCCTCACTCAGAGACTCTGATGTAATTGCCTTGAGGTGGGACCTAAACATGAAACATTTTTAGTAGCTCCCAAAGCAATTCTAATGCACTGCCAGGGACGAGAAACACTGCTTTATAGGCTGCATAGGGAGGGGAAAAGCTTTATGTCCAGGGGTTTCTCCATGTCCAACAAAACTAGAAATACTTGTGTTATATTTTAATCTGGGCCCTTAGAATACATTGGGATATCCATGAAAATTCAGGTCCCCAGCTGGAATTATCAGAACAACTAAATCCCCAAAGAAATGGGGAGCATTCCTACCCAACTGTTGGATTTCTGTGTCCTTGTATCTGCAGGCTTCTGAGCTTTTTCTGGTCGCGAACAAGCACTATTATACAAGCATAAGTCAAGGCCAGAAACAAAATAATTTCTGAGATTTTGATTTGAGCTGATGAACCCTGTTCCTAGGGTTCATATTTAGTCATTCTTCTATATCTGGAAGAATTGTCTAGACTTACTCATAAAGGTCTAGACCAGTAATTAGCTCGGTACTTGGTCCTGCGGTACCCTAGTTACCTGTCCTTCCCTTTCCTGTGTGTCAACACAGCACCACAGTAGGCCCCAATTTCAAATTGTCTTATAAATGGTTCCACATGGAATTCCAAGATTGATCTCTTTCAACTGCTTTTTAAGACTCTTACCATGTCCTTCATCACACAATCTACATCTTCTGCATTTGGAAGAAAAATGGCCTTTGTCTGTGTACTCCTTCCCTTCTTGGCAGGGCACGCAGTCTGGTTCATCCTCATTGACTGTGCAGTCCCTAGCTTTCCTTTCACCTGCCCAAGGGAAAAAGGAGCAAGTGTATGAACAGGACATGGGCAGGTAACAGGGTGGGAAGTATGCAGGGATGATAGACAATAAAACTCTTCTAAAACACAAGGGGAGCGGAGTAGGCTAATGATATATAAATACAATGGGGGAGAAGATTATTGTAAAAGTCATGTCAGGAGCCAGGAAGTCTCCCAAGACAAAAGCTAAAAGAGTGACGGAAGCCCATAGAAATAGGATGATTAGCAACAGGAGCATACAAAACAAAGGAAGGTTAGAATGACAAAGTGCACTGCACCAAATGCCTTTGCCAACAACCAACTTCCTTGGAGAAAGGGGAGAGGTTGGTGGGTATATATTCAGAGTGGGGATAGCTGTTACTGGACACTGAGATGATCAAACTGACTCACATTGCTCTGACTTTTCATTTTACTTTCCAAAGTCCACAAACCCTGATAAGAAATAGTGTAATAAGGAAAAGAACATTTGAAGTTTTAAAGGCCTTGGTCAAACCTTGAAGAGCTATAAAATCTTTAACAGTGTTGTTTTCACCAAGCCTAAATTTCATCCTGCATATGACGGAGAGAGTAATATTTCTCTTGCATTGCTGTCAGAACGGTACTCGGCCTGCCTAGTGAGCATGACAGTTCTCTTTGTTCTCCCCTTTCTATTACTTTTTCACAAAAGACAGGGTACGTACTGATGAGTTTTGACAAGCATTAACATATTTATACCAAAATTTATTATCAATCAGGCTTGTTATCTTAAAACAAACAATTTTAAATAATATACACATTTGCATTAATTTACTTTAAAAATAAAGTGAGTCACTGTATTGTTATTAGTAAGCATCATGTAATGTGTTCTCTTAAAAAATTCATTTATCTAATAGGTGTTTATTAAATGCCTATTGAGTGCTAGGAACTTTTTAGAAGTTTAATATTATGCAGGAAATAAGATAAAGCCTTCATCACCAAAGACTTCACCTTCTCAGGATGGAGGTGGACAATACACAAATAAATATATTGATATCAAGTGCTAAAAAATGCTAGAAGAAAGCTAGATGAAGGTAAGGGAATAGAGAATGAAGAAGAAAGTGACAGAAAATACCAAGAGAAGTGTCTGAGAAAAACATTACAAGTGACTCTAATTGTTAATGGTATAACTAGTTAAAAAAAAATAAGCAGTTTAATCTGCTCTGCTCACCCATACAGCAAAATTAATTTCTGCTGTGTTTCCTAGGAACATGAATTCCTTAATAACCTCATATATTGTTCTTTATTCTTTTTGATAAAACAAAATATTTACTACATGAGCAAATTATGACATGTAAATATATATGCTATTTTAGTAAATAAAGACAATAGTCTGTCAATAGAAAAAAGACAAACTGGAGATTCCCAGAACAAAATTCAAAAATAGTGCATAGGGATATATAACATTGTAGCAATATTTAAAGAAAACACAGCCCAAGTCCAAGTATAATTTTATTTTTTGCTAATGGTATTATACTGGTCTCTGAATGAATTGGTCTCTTTAATAAATTATCTTGCAGAATGTGCCTAGCACAACATCCTTGGTATAATGGAGAGACAATAAACCACAGGTTCTTTTGTTCTGCCAAAGTATGAAAACAAAATTTATTAAAATAAGAAAATAAGTAGTTGTTTTATTGAAAATCAGATTTTAAAATACTTTTTTAAGTATAATGGTACATATGCTTATTATAGAAATGTTGGATAAGGCAGGAAAGTATAATAAGAACTTATGTATCAGGCCGGGCACAGTGGCTCATGCCTGTAATCCCAGCAGGTTGGGAGGCCAAGGCAGGCAGATCAAATGAGGTCAGGAGTTTGAGACCAGACTGACCAACATGGCAAAAACCCGTCTCTATTAAAAATACAAAAAATTAGCCTGGCGTTGTGGTGTGCTCCTGTAGTCCCAGTTACTTGGGAGGCTGAGGCTGCAGAATTGCTTGAACCCAGAAGGCAGAGGTTGTAGTGAGCTGAGATCATGCCACTGCACTTCAGCCTGGACTACAAAGTGAGACTCCATCTCAAGAAAACAAACAAAAGACTATATATCAACAACTTTGAGATACTGCCTGTTATTTTGTTGCATTCCTATGCATATAAATACATACATACATGTATATGCATGAGCATACACATAACAGGTGTGTGTGTATATATATGTATAATGTGTATATATGAAATATGTAGGCAGTATACCACAGAATCCTTCTATTGAATATGATGATGTGGGGAGGACTTCTTTGATCATTTAATCAAAAATGTCAATTTACATAGGAAACAATTTAAAAATACTGTAAATATTTTATTTTAATTTATAAAATATAACTTTATAATCATTTGACAATTTTGTGATATAGAAGTTATTAGAATCCCAGTTTCTTACTTAAGTCACATCCATAATGCATCACTTATAATTTCCTGTTTGTCTGTTTTTCTCTTCCTTTCTTTGTTTCTTTTATTCTCCTCCCTCCCTCCCTCCCTCCTTCCCTTCCTTTTTGATGAAATGAAAACATAGACATACCAATAATCTGTATGAATGGCTTTAGAGATTTTTGTGATTTTTCTTACCACTTAACTTTTATTTTTCTCTCACAAAATTCATCAACAACATTTTAGCATCTCATCTTTACTAAATTCTCCAAAGCACTGAACCTAATTTTCATAGAAATAAAATCTGTCTTTTCTCTGTATTTGTATTTCATTAATTTATACAATATTCAATCAAATTACATATGAATATCACAACACCAATAAGCATAAACAGATTTGGAAGCAACTTAAATATTGATAAGCCTAAAATTCAAAAAGAGGGAATTGAAGTGGGAAGAGTATTTAACATGGTTGGATGCCATCCAGGATATTTTATTGAGGAATCAGGGAGAATCAGTGAATCCAGCCAGATCAGTTGGAAATCACTTAAGAAGATTTATATAATTGAGGATTATGTTAGAAATGTATCAGAAAATATGACTTTGTTTGATACATACTATTTCAGTCTTTAAATATTCCAAAATTTACCTAAGGAATCCCACATCATATTGATAATGAAATATCATGTGTACAATATTTTCCTTTATTTTTGATTACTTTCTCAAGGTATTTTCTTAAAACTTAATTGCTATCTTAGCGAGTCTAAACATTTTTAAATTTTTGACTCATATATCCAAATGTCTTTCTTAAAAGTTTATAACAATTTATTTCACTTCTTAAATGAAAATAGAACAAAGCAAAACCAAAAAAGCAATAGACAAAAATCCTTGACAGTTTGATGTGCAAAGCATATTTTGTTCATTTTAATTTGCATTTTAGGTTTTAAAATTATGAACAAAGATTTCGATTCATAGGGCAAATTGATTGTGCTTAGCAAATCATAATAAAGTCAGGAAGCCATTCTTTATTTGTGTTGGAGAAGATTTAAGTGTAAATGGATTTAAGTAAAACGGGTTGGGTTACAGGGGAGATTTTTCCATAAGGGTTATTAAAATCTGGACAGGAAGCATAGGGAGACTGGTAGAATCTTTTCACAAACAGGACCCATCATGTTTTGCAGCTTGAGTGCTGGAAGCCTGGGAGGTCAACCATGAAACATACTACAGTCCTTTTTCTGTTCTACTAATCTATTGCATGAACCCATGTGCTATTTTCCTTTTCTCGACGCTACTCAAAGTTGAAGAAATGTTTGCACAATTGCATTTTGCTTAGCTTTTAATTTACCAGTGTTTGAAGGATTTCTCATCTGAAATTAGTTTGCCATTCAAAGTATTGATTAAAAAAAAAAAAAAAAGCTGTTGGTTTCTGCCTGTTGCTTTTCTTATTCATCTAGTTATTCAGCTGCAAAATGCAAATATATTTTGCAGGCTTCAGTGCTAGGACAGCTTTCTTAGAGGCCTTCTGATTGAAGGGAAGTGCTGAGACATATCCCTTAAGAGTAGAAGTCTCTTGCTTTCAGAGTTCCACTATTGTTATGATAGATGCTTATCAGTTTTGACATGATAAGCTTTCATATTCACAAATGAGTCATTTTCGCTTAGGAAAAAAATGGAGCCAAATAGACCAATCTTCTCATTTCAGAGGTGCATGTCACTTGTAAATTAAATTTATCCATAACCACATCAAATAAGCGTGCTAAATATAAATAAAACTCATCTTTGGAAAATAATTTCATAGTTGTTTTTCTCTCAGTTATGCTATATAATACAGGAGAACCAAAAGCTGTAAAATTGTTATAGCCATGATTACTATGTGCTACTCATAACTGTGACTTTCACTGTAATCTCTGGATGTTTTGTGTAATATACCTGGAGGACAGGGGTCACGGCAGAATTGGCCCTCGTGATGCAGGCCTTCCAAGTTCTGAGTCTCAATTGTAGTAACGATCTTCCTCAATTCAAATTCCTTGGAGCTGATATCAGTCACTTGGGCATTAACACATTTGGACAATAATCTAGCAACAGAGGTAAGAACCTGTAAAATAAAAGCATGAAGAGAATTTTATTGATTTCTGAAGTAAGCAACATGGTAAACAAGTTTTATTGATTTCTGAAGTAAGTAACATGGTAATCAAGTGTAACCTGCCCAAAATTGGCGGTATCTGCTGTGCACAGGCAAAGTCAATATGAGGGCTCTGTTGTCTTTCAGATTTCTCTCCAAGAAAGCAGCAGGTCACCTGTATAGCAGTTCAGACCTCAGGTTCTTCAAACCACACCGGAAACAGCACCATGGATGACAGAAACCAGGTGTTCTAAGGTGAACAGGGCCTCCCACTTACTGCCCTGTGTTTGTGGGTAAAATCAATTACATTCTCCAAGTCTCAGTTTCTTTATAAGCTGAAATAACCTCTTCCACACAGGTTTGTTGTGAAAATAAGTGGAATAATGCACTTAAAACAGTTAGCACAGAACTTGGCACATAACAAATATATGCCCAATAAGTGTGCTATTTTTATTATTAAAGTTTCAGTGAGGGGGAGCATAGTGGAGGAGGAAAGAGAAAGTTCAAAACAACTGTGGTTTGAACCCCAGGTCTGCCACCAAAGATGAATATTCGAGAAAGACAGAGAGAGAGAGAGAGAGCAAGGCCCCCATGGGTATAGTGCCCTGCCCTTCTTGATATACTAATTTCACGCAATATTTAGGAGACAGCATTATGGGGGGGGGCACAACTAATGGTTTAAATTGCCAAGTACCCAGGTGACAGATTACACAGAGTGCGAGAAAAGATTTGTCCAAAAATTCACAGTTAAGAGTGGCTAACAAGAGACTCAGAGCCAGGACTTCTGGCCCAAATCTGGGCTGTTTCATATTTGTAGAATAGTTTCCTAAATATTTTACTCCACCTAGGCATGCAAACAACTCCGTTTGTTTACAGACAATTATTGGCAAGAAGCCTGCAAAGAACCTTCAAAACAAATGGTTACTGGGGAAAGGGGAGGTGTTTGGCAGGAATTCGCTAAGAACCAGAAGTCAGCCGGAAGACCTCCAGTCTGGGAAAACTGTAGCAAGACTCCTAAAGCCAAGGCTCTTGCTGGCAGGGAAGGCAAAACTTGCCAGCCGTGCCCAGAAGCTTGGGAAGAAGCTTGGGAAGAAGCTGAGTTTGCATTTCCCTCCCTCCAGTTTTGGCACTGAATTTCTCAGAACAGCCGTGACCATGATTGTCAGCTCTCTGGCAGAGGTGAGGAAATGGAATGCATAGACAAATAGTTAGAAGCTGGAAGTCATCCTATGCTAGAATCTGTGCATTCCCTTTGAACCTCTCAGAAACAGGGACACATGAGATTTGTTCTTTGTATCCCATCACAAGAAACTGAGAGAACAATTGGATATTCACCCATTGCCTGCAGTATCAGTGAGGAAGAATTCTTTTCATAGCCAACCAGGTTACAGAGTAGAAGAAATGATGCAAGAATTAGCAGACACAGAAGATAATGACTGACGCCCTGCCCCAGCACTATGTCAGTCTAAAACGATCTCCACACTTTCTCAGGAATGGTCAGCCCCAGATCTAGCATGGCAGTTACAAATACAGCAACAGCTCAGTGACTGAATTTAACTACTGGAAGAAATACAGACCCCCATTCAGACTTATTCCAGTGTCAGTGTGGCAAATGGATTTGAAAAGGAACCAAAAGAAGAAGAAGAAAACAAAAACAAAAACAAAAAAAAAGTATATTACCTTCTTAATATACTTTTTTTTTTTTAAACTGTTTTTACTGAAGTTCAAAGCAAACAGGAAAAGATTTTTAAAAAGCAGAAAAAAAAAAAGCATTCAGCGGTGAGAAATGACAGCCCTCAGCATGGCAAGAATGAGTAGACAGATGCCTGGAACAGTCAGTGAGAATTCTCAATTTTGAGCACAGCATCAGACTGCAAACAGTTTGTTGTGACAGAGAGAGGCAAAAGCAAGCTTTATAGTCATCACCGTGAAAAGGGTTTTACTTTGGTGTTTTTTGTTTGTTTGTTTGTTTTGTTTTGTTTTTGTGGGTTTGTTTTTTTTGTTTTGTTTTTTTTTGTTGTTTTTAGACAGAGCCTTGTTCTGTCACCCAGGCTGGAGTGCAGATGGCACAATCTAGATCTCGGGTCACTGCAACCTCTGCCTCCAGCATTCAAGTGATTCTCCTGCCTCAGCCTCCGGAGTAGGTGGGATTACAGGAATGCACCACTATGATGGCTAATTTTTTGTATTTTTAGTATAGAAGGAATTTCACCATGTTGACTAGGCTGCTCTCAAACTGCTGACCTCAGACGATCCTCCCGCCTCGGCTTCCCAAAGTGCTGGAATTATAGACATGAGCCAACACACCCGGCCAAGAGGATTTTACCTCTAGGCAAAGCCCCACAAGAGAATTTCTTCAATATGACCATTGTGCTCAGCTACTGCAGAAAAAAAAACCCTCTTGATGAGGGGGTATAACGGTGGTCCAGAAAATTCAACACTAGAAGGTTAGGGATTAAGAAAACGAAAAGCAAAAGAAAAGAGGGACATTTCAAGAAAAAAAAAGTTTCAGCAGTATATTATCTTTTAACACACAGAAATTTTAATGGTGCTTATTTCTAGTTGCTAAGATTTTTTTTTTTCATTTTGCTTAACTCATCTTTTCTTAATAACGCATATGTGTTTGTTGTATAATAAAAAAATTTAAAAGGTAGCAGGGTTGTGTTGAACCTAAAGATCTATACTGATTTATCATAATCACCTGTGTTATTACTTTTTAGTAAAATGGAAAATCTAGGTAATAATGGTAGTAAATCTATAACAGCAACTTAGTATTCGAAAGGTGGAAAGAATTAACATTTAATTCTTTATATAAATTTTGGGTTCTTTTGCTCTTCTAGCTTTCTTTGGTAGTCTTATAATTTTACTAAATCAAACATCATAAATATTAACCTTTGTTTAATCGGATATATTTTCTTAAACCAGCATAATCAAAGCCGTTTTATTTCTCTTCAGTCCACTAGGACTAAATATATCACCACTCATTACAGCAACGTTGTTTGATGGTAAAGAAAATTCTCTTTTATTTTTGAAGTAAAATTATTGGACCCAAAAATATGTTACACTAAAAAGAACTTTTTAATTTTTGAAATCGAAAGCTCAGTTATACAAATCACCAGAAACTGGTAACTACAGTTTGCAGTAATTTCTGTCTCTGATGAAATCTTGGTTTATTTTTTCTTAAAGAATACTTACCATGGAAATGTACTTTATTAACCACACCCTGATAGATCCCTATGTCAAATATGCAACAGGAGTTGCTGGTTGCCAATGAGACAATAAGATAAACAAAAAGTGCTTCATAATTTAGCATCTCATTGTGCTGTTACTGAACTAGGAATAAACAGATATATTTCTCAGAACACTGTCTATTTTTATACTTCTAGAGATGACATAGGCTAACTTTATTGTGTGGCTTATAAACTGAAAAAAATCTAATAATGCAGTATTGTTTAGGCACCCATAGAGACTACTCTGGGGAGAAAGACACATATAAGTTCTAGGAGGTCTGTCGTAAAATATTATGAATATTATTTTATATTTGAACTGAGTATTTTTGAAAGTGCACTTTATTATATAATAGTTACCCTTCTATACAAGCTTAATAAAATAAAATGCTTAGCTTAAAAGACACTTAGAAATGCATGTTAATAGATTTATCTGAAAGTTAGACATCTCAAATTGAAAATGGACATTTTAACCCCTGGCTTTGAATTTCAAATAGATTGATGAAAATAGATGGGTTATGGGGTTTTACAGGAAAGAGTGCTCCCCACCCCAATCCTCTCAGAATGTAGCAAAGAAGTAATAGAAGGCAGAGGGGTACTTGAGAGAACAATAGAAACAAAAAGTGAGAATTTTTTTTTTTGAGATGGAGTCTCCCTCTGTTGCCAGACTGGAGTGCCGGGCGTGATCTTAGCTCACTGCAACCTCCGCCTCCTGGGTTCAAGTGATTCTCCTGCCTCAGACTCCCGAGCAGCTGGGACTACAGATGCTCACCACCACGTCCAGTGAATTTTTGTATTTTTAGTAGAGATGGGGTTTCACCATGTTGGCCAGATGGTCTCGATCTCTTGACCTCGTGATCTGCCTGCCTCGGCATCCCAAAGAGCTGGAATTACAGGCATGAGCCACCACGCCATGCCAAATTTTCTTTTTTAAAGGGGGGTGTTGACACCAGCAAAACATCCAGTTAACTTCTAAAATTTTAAACAATTAAACTAAAAGTTGGTATCTCATTATATTTACAATTAAGAGCAGAAAGGACTTTATGGATGACCTAGCCCAAACCCCTTTTCTGATAGAGATGGCAATGTCCCAACTGGTGAAGTGACTGGCCCGCAGTCATGCATCTAGCAGAGGAGATTCAGGACTGTCATGGGCTAAATCGTGTCCTCCCCTCACTCCCAAATTCATATATTGATACCGATACCCTAACTTCCTGAGCCTCCGAATGTGACAGTATCAGGAGATAGAGCCTTTACAGAGGTGATTAAGTTAAAATGGTGTTCATAGGGTGAGCCTTAATCCAGTGTGACTGGTGACCTTTTAAGAAGAGGAAATTTGGTATATACAACTTCCAGAGCTCTTGTATTTGGAAGGCTGGAAGGGTCCAGACTTTGCAAGAGTGTCTTGGCTTCACTGTTTTTGTTTTGCTTTTTTTTTTTTAATCTTTAGCTAAAGCTATATAAACCTTGTAGATTAAACAGTATACACTTCTAAATTTAAAAAAGACGATGATGACGAGGAAATTTGGACACACATACAAACAGAGGAAGATAATGTGAAGACACATGGAAAAGAAGGCCATTTACAAGCCTGGAACAGATCCTGCCCTCGTGGTCCTCAGAAGGAACCAGTCCAGCTGGCACCTTGATATCAGGCTTCTAGCCCCCAAAACTGCTGACCCGGTTGGCAGTCCTAAGAATTTAATATAAGGAATGAACTACAGTCTCTTGATTCTCTTGGATTCT